TTTTACAGGTAAAGAAGCAGGCTTAAAGGATGGTACTTGGTTGATGACCTCAGGAAGCAGGTAGTAAGTTTTGAATGCTGTGCCAGCAGAACCTGGGAATCTGACACTACTTGATCTTTTTTAAATTTTCTTTTTAAAAATAATCTTTTGTTATTTTACATACCAATCCCAGTTCCCCCTTCCTCCTGACAGTACATGATCTTAATCTTTTACGTGAATTTGGGTTTGTTTGTTTATTTGTTTTGTTTTTGTTTTGATAATGTGTGAGATGCCTTAGTGGATAAGATATGCTTGCTGCCAAGACTTGAGTTCAATCTCCTGGACCCACCAGTTCCTCTCTGACCACCACAAGTGAGCCATAGACATAAATTAAATAAAGAAATGTAATTAAACACATTTAAATTGGTCAGTATAGAAAACATTGGGAAAAAGAAACCCATAACCAAATACACCCTTTCTTCTGTGGTCTTACTGAAAAATAGAGATGCTTTCTCAGCTGGAGGTTTTTGAGGGTCTTGTTTGTCTATTTGGGTACTAGGCATTGAACCTAGGCCTGTATAATGAGAGGCAAGCCGTAGTAGGTAAGCTGCCAGCCCTAGGAGTTCTGGGCAAGAGCTTTACTGCTGAGCCACTTGAGAGTCTGAGATCAGGCTTGGCTGTCTCTGGTTCTTGTATTGGCTTTTCCCTCTGTCTGGAAGAGTCTCTTCTTGAAGGCATCCTCCTGCCTCCAACTCACCGCTCCTTCAGGTTGTTTCCCCCACCTTCGTAAGCTTCTGCTTATTTTCCTTGGCTGGCTCTGGTTTTGTTTGGCCGGCCAGCTTTGGCTTCACGAGACAAGTCTTCAGTCTGTGACCCAGGCTGACCTTGAACTCCTCTTTGCTAACCCCGTGGCTGTGTTCCCAGTGCCTTGATTTTATTGGCGCGTGAGTACTCAGTACCATTTGCTGAAGATTCAGCGGGTGCTTATGGCCTGCTCTCTGCCTGGGCACACCAGACGCAGAGCAGGCATTTGGTGTGTGTCTGTGGAAACCATGGTTGACAGGCTGCTGCTGAGGGATTCTCTGTCAACCTGTTTTCCTCTCCCTCTCTCTCCATCTTATTTCAGGTTGAACCCAGGGTCTCTGATGCACTTAAGGAGTGCTCTACCACCAGAATGGCAGGCATGTGTTACTATGCCTGGAAGGATAAACAGAATATTATATCTTTTTAAATTTTATTAATTTTTTTAATATTAGCTCGGCATGATGGAGCACACCTTTAATCCCAGCACTCGGGAGGCAGAGGTTGGTGGATCTCAGTGAGGGAGGCCAGCCTGGTCTACAAAGCGAGTTCCAGGACAGTCAGGGCTACAACAGAGAAACCCTGTCTCAAAAAAAAAATTATTTACTACTTCCTCAGTGTGTGTATGTGTGTGTGTGCACACGTGTGTGCACATGTGGCACACATGTGCATGCAGTGTCCTCAGAGTCCTGAAGAGGACCCAGAAATACCTTTAAAACAAGGCATATATATCAGCAGTGACGTTCCCTGTCCCTGTCTTCAAGAAGTTTCATTTTCGGGCTGCCTATCAGTGAACTTTAAATTTGCATAAACACATTTTCTTGTTGAGCTTCCACGCTGTGGTAAATATTTCACTTTTATAAACCATCATCCGCACCACCAAGTAGTGGCACAAGCCTTTAATTTTTTTCCTCCTTTTTGGTTTTGTCTATGCTGGAATTAAAGGCATGAGCCACCAGCCCTGCTATCCCAAGCCTTATACACCGGGAGTTTTATGCTGAAATGGAATTGCTGGTCTCTAGCTCACTCACTGACTGCTCTCTGTTGCCTCCCCATGGTCGGGGTGCACATTGCAAGATCGTAAAACGAATTCACGCTCCATCCGCATTCAAAGTATCCTCTACAACGGTCCCCCCCGCCCCCCGCCGCCACTCCTTTTTGTTGTTTTTTCTCCTTTTCACATTTGTTCGTTTCACCTGTGTACGAGTGTGAAGCAGAGCAAAGAGGATGTTCCCACCTTCCACCGTGTGAATCCTGGGGTCGAATTCAGGCCGTCGGGCTTGGTGGTAAGCTATCTTGCCCACTGAGCTGCCTCCGCAACCCTTTCGGGATTTTAACTGAGCTCTGACATCAAAGGCCACGTTCTTAAACACAGCTCACACTGGCTCCGGTAAATACATCCACCAAGCCCTCTCTGTGAGCCAATCACGTTGAACATTGGTAACGCCAACGTTGACAGAGTGTGCTATGCAGCAGTCCCAGTACTAAGCATGTAACAATCCTTAAATTTTGCGGTGGGGCTCTCCCAGGAAGATGTAAAATTAACATCTGTTTCCACGCAGGGATGGTCCGTGCCAACAGCACACACGTTTATTAGGGTTATTTATGGGGCGGTAGAGAGCTACAAATGACTGCACACCCCTCAAATCACCCCCTTCCAACTCATCTGATTTCCTATCCCATTTTATGGTGCTCTAGGGCTACCCCAAAATGGTACAAACCAGGGCTTAGATCGCCACCTAGTGTTATAAAAGCCAATTACAGGCCTGGGTGTTTCGTGATTATTTCTTGGTCTTTAGGGAATGATGCTGCTGTAGGTGCCAGCAAACGCTGTTGGAGCCTGGGAAGGGAAGCATGTCTTGCTGCAGTCTGGCATGGAGACCAGCTAACAGGTGGTTTGCAAGACGATTGTTCTAGATAAGATCGGGAGGGCTGGTGTCACTGAAATCCTCACAAAAATCTGTATGCACTATTGGTTATTCCCATTCAAAAGCTGTGCAAAAGAGGCGCAGAGAAGGTAAGTAGCTTCTCCAAAATCACACAAGCAGGCTGACTTGAGGGTCTGGACTTCTGACCACTTTTTTTTCCTGCGAAAAATAGCACGAATAAGATTTAAAAACACAAAATAAAATGATGAAGACTAGAAAATATTTTATGTGGCATAAAATACTCCCATGTGGTGATAAAAAGATCATATAGGGCTGAAGAAACAGGCTATCTGGAGAGTCCCTGCCTAGAATCCCCCTGTGAGGGGCTGGGAGTGTGGTTCATTGGGAGAGCCCCTGCCTAGAATCCCTCAGGGAGGGAGTGGCTGGCACTCTGGCTGACCTGCAGAGCGCACTGTGGGTGGATTGCAAATGAGCTGGCCTGATTGAAAGAAGCCATCTACAAAAGGCCAGTACTGCCCAGCTTCACTCCCGGTGTTGCAGGAAAGGTAGAGCTAACCTACAGTGGCAAAAGTAGATTACTTGATGCCTGAAACTGGTGGGGGCTGGGGCTGTTTGCTGCAGGGAACCCTGGGAGACAGAAATGTTCTCTCTCAAGCGGGGGGGGGGGGCACTCCCCTCTAATCTCAACACTAAGGAAATGGAGGCAGGAGGATCAAATGTTCAAGTCCGCCCTCAGCTGTATAGTGGATTTTGAGGCAAGCTTGAGCTACACGAGAAACAGAACCATGAATCTCACATAGCCTCAACCTAGAACGCATGATCCTCCTGCCTCCGCATTGCAGCCATGAGTCATGCACCAGGCTTCCTTTTTCTATTTATAACCATCAGTCCATAGGAAGGGCACCATCCTTCCACCCAGTCTATCCATCCATGCCAGCTGGGCACACTGGCCGGCCACTTAGGTGCTATGTTGGTTATCAGACCACCTCCTGGAGTGTGAAGTGCAGGTGGTCAACTACCAATGCCCTTGCCCCTTCTCTCATTATGTCACAACCTCACAGGAAAAGAAGGCCAAGAGATGAAGGGGGTTGCGAAGTCTATGCTGCTGAACACTGCTATGTGTGTATGACGGATGGGTGTTTCGTTAGCTCCAGCTCATTGATTTCGAGGGAGGAGATGCAAATGCTGTTTCTGGCTAAGAGTGGCCCGCTTGGGGCTAGAGAGATGGCCCAGCGGTTATGAAGGCATACTGTTGTTACAGAGGACCCCAGTTTGGTTCCCAGCACCTCTGTCCGTGCAGCTCACAATGACTCCCGCTTCAGGGAATCTTGATGCCCCATTCTGACCTCCTCACCTGCTCACACACTCAGCATTCACTTGCACAGACAAACATAAAAAATAAAATATATAAAAGTGATGTGTGGGGCCACGGGGAGAGGTGGAGGGCAGGCGCTGCAGTGCTGGCTCCGTGGTCAACAGCTTACAGCACTTACACACATAGCCACATTCATGGGCATATCTTTTTTACACAAATTCTTTTTAATATTACTACGGAGCTAGAACTAGACACAGTTCACTGCTGCTTTAAATGTGACCAATCTATCTGGGCGATAATAACACACGCCTTTAATCCCAGTACTCAGGGAACAGAGGCAGAGGCAGGCTGATCTCTGTGAGTTCAAGGCCAGCCTGGTTAACAAGAGCTAGTTCCAGGACAGGCTTCAAAGCTACACAGAAAAACCTTGTCTCAAATAAATAAATAAATAAATAAATAATCAACAGAATCAATTTAATCCCCATCTAAATGCCCGTGACATTCTCCAGAAATAAAGAAAAAAAATGATAATCAAAAATTAAAAAGATGGCTCAGTTGTTAAGTTGCTCTTCCAGAGGAACTGGGTTCAATTCCCAGTACCCCCTTTGGCAGCTCACAACTGGTTCTAGTTCTCGAAGATCTGCGTGCATGCAGTGCACAGACACGCACACACAAGCAAAACACTCATACGCAGAAAATAAAAATAAATCTTTTGAACGAAGCTCCCAAACCACCAAACAATGAAACCAAAAAACAAATGTACTATCATATGAGATTTTAATCATAAAAGAGAGCTGGGCGCGAGGCTCCTGTGGGAACTCTTTTATCTTTCCAGTTTGCCTGGAAAACCATCCCCCAAGAAAAAGCGTTTTTCTAAAAATGAAAAGACGGCACAGTAGAGATGGTGACGCGGCCATGTTCATTTCAGCGGGCTGGGAAAACAGGTCAGAAACCCTCCTGGGACTCAGAGAACATTTCTGTGCTCGGCGAGTCCTTCCGAAGCGCCTGAGTTTCCCACGCAGGGCACATGGACCAGATGTGGCAGTGGCCTCGTGCACGTGGGCCTCCCTCTCACCACGCTGTGGCTCTCATGGCTGGCCTTTCTGTGAGTCACCTGAAGCAGAGGCCTGGCGATTGTGTGTGAGATTCTGGAGGGATATGCTGGGCTGGATGAGGAAGCTTCCTTTCTGGTTTCCTTCTTCCTGTGCTCTAGAGTTGGCCCTGGGTGGTAGCTAACTATGGACGGGTGACCTGGGCTGGGGGGGGGCGGGGCTCCAGAATCCAAGAAATCCTTGAGGTTCCCAGAGGTCAGATTTTGAAGATGACAAAGAACAGTTTAAAAAATGTGTATCTACATGGTAAATGTTAAGACCTGTGTATCCTAGGAGGGGCGTGGCAGTGTGGCCCGTCACACCAGTACTTAATTAGGGTCAGCCTGGGCTATATAGTGAGACTCTGTGCCAGCAAACTGAAACGTAAAACAAAATCAAGGCCTGTGGTGGTGGTGGTGGAGGCAGCGGGAGGGTGTGTGTGTGTGTGTGTGTGTGTGTGTGTGTGTGCGCGCGCGCGCGCGCGCGTGCGAGTGTGTGTGTGTGTGTGTGTGCGCGTGCACGCGCGCGTGCACTTTTAATCCCAGCTCTTAGGAAGCAGAGGGAGGAGTTCAAGGCCAGCCTGGTCTACAGAGAGAGTTCCAGGACAGCTAGGGCTACACAAAGAAACCCTGTCTCAAAAACAAACAAACAAAAAAAAAAAATTAAAAGGGCAGCTAGGGGACTGGAGAGTTGGCTCAGCAGTTGAGCACACTGGCTGCTCTTGCAGAGGACTCGGGCTTGGTTCCCAGCACCCATGTGGTGACGGACAATCAGCTGTAACTCTAGTCTCAGGGGAGTCCAATGGGGTAGCTTCAATGGGCACCAAAAATGTACACAGTGTATAGATACATATGTAAGGAAAATACACACATAAGATAAAAAAAAATAAAAACCAAAAAAAGGCAGCCAGGAATAAAGGTGCTTCCCTGTAACTCCAGCTCAGAGAGGCCGAGGCAAGAGCACTAGATCAAGGCCAGTCTGGGGAGAAGGAAATATGTCACTTGCCATGACAAAGAATGGATCCCAGGGTGTGTGTCAGCGGCTGGATATGGAGGAAGAAATAGGATTTGGAGTTGAAAGGAAGGAAAGTGAGATAGGAAGGGAGGGGAGAAGAGGGAGGGGAGGAGAAAACACAGGGTGCTGATGAGCTTTCTGTGCCACGCAGGGCTGCTCCCTACAGCTCTCCTCCCCCACATACAGATGAAGAGACGGTCACAAAGGCCCTGTGACTTGCAGCCATCACACAAGAAGTGGCAAAGCTGGGCTTGGGCCCCTGGTGCTGCCTGGCTGTGGGCCTTTGTCCTCTGTGGACTCTCCCTGCCAGGCATGTCCACTGCTTGGCCCAGAACGTGCCCATTCCGTGGGATCTTCAGTTTCAGTCCACAGTGGCATCCTGGGGCACCCCCACAGCCTGAGCTGGCCCTTCATGACACGCCTTCACTGCTCAGCATCCTCTCCCTATGCATCATTCGGGCCCGGCGACCTGGATCCTCTGCTTGATTCATTGCTGTCTCCGACACGGCCAGGTCAGAGCTTGGCATGTGATATCCTTATAGGCCTGTGTTGTGCTGGGCCACACTGGACCCTGTCCTCCTTAGCATGGACAGTCCAATAGACACCCATCCCAGGATGGCAGTGGCCTGAAATGGGCCGCGCTGGGCACAGGGGACACCCAGGACTCCAGTCTAACCCGGAAGGATTAGATGGAGGTGATAGAGTCCAGTGTCACCATCACAGAGTCCCCAGCCAGGAGACAGACAATGACTGATGATCGAGGCAGACAGTGTAGGCATTGGGGACTGAAGCAATTATGGAGCCCAGAGATCTGGCCTCAAGGGGGACTCGTCAGAGAAGGCTATGAGGAGGGGACAATAGGAAGGAAGCCTAAGATGGAAGATGTCAACCCTGAGTCAGGCCTGGTGGTGCACACCTAGAATTCCAGCAGTTGGGAGGTGGAGGCAGGAGGATTAGAAGTTCAAGGACATCCTTAGACAGGCTCAGACACTTTAAGTTGAGGACCAGCCTGGACTACGTGGAGGACCTGTCTAAAAGCACCCTGGGGAGGAGACACTTCAGAGAGTGAACTCAGAAAGCCCAGACAGTGAGCGCATCAGCTTTGCATAGGGAAAGTGCTTGACATGTTTCGTGAGCCTTCAAGTGGGTGACAGGCCACTGAGGCCAAGATCCACGAGCCTTCAACTGGGTGACAGGCCACTGAGGCCAAGATCCACAGGCCTTCAACTGGGTGACAGGCCACTGAGGCCAAGATCCACGAGCCTTCAACTGGGTGACAGGCCACTGAGGTCAAGATCCATAGGCCTTTGACAGGGGGCAGGCCACTGAAGCCAAGATCCACAGGCCTCCAACAGGGAGCAGGCCACTGAAGCTAAGATTCATGAGCCTTTGACTGAGTGACAGGCCACTGAGGCCAAGATCCACGAGTCTTCAACTGGATGACAGACCACTGAGGCCAAGATCCACTGGGTGACAGGCCACTGAGGCTAAGCCCTGAGAAATGAACCACTCAGCACAAGGGAAGAATAGCTGGAGGTGATCCACATGGCAGGAATCTGCTGAGGTCAGTCTAGACTGTCCATGGCTCCATCCAAAGTCCTCACTGTGGCCCACAAGGCTCTGTCACTGCTCTGTCCTCTTCCCCTCTCTCCTTCATTATAGGGTGACAGCCACAGCAGCCTCCACAGTCTCTGGGGAAATGGTGATCTGCCTCAGGGCCTTTGCGCTGGCGGCGTCTCTGCCTGGGATGTCCTTCCTGCCTTACCTGTGTCCCTTATCAACAGCTCTAGTCCAAAGGTCACCCATCTCCCTGAAAACTGACACCATTCCTCTTTCCCCTCCTGAGCACTTATCCCTTGTAAGCTGTTCAAGTCCGTGTCCACGCTGCGAGGGGAGAGATCTGTCTTGTTCCATTCCTGTCGCGTGATAGATGCTCAATGAATTTAGGTGGGATTCGTAAAAGGACAAATAAAAAGAGGGGGGCATCGAGGGGAGAAAGTAGCAGATCTGTGTGCTCCTGAGTCTCCTCAGCTGTGCCATGGGGGAGCCAACAGTCTTAGCCTTTTCTCTACACCTGGAGAAGATAGCGCTGGCTGGGAAACTGACGCACAAGAGGACATTAAGCAGCACATCACGGGCCAAGCCAGGGACCACACGCAAGTCAGAGTGGGAAGACAGAGTGTAACCCTGCTGGCAACTCCTTCACGAGGGTGTGTCCGCCTTGCTGGTCCCAGCACAGGACACCCTTCCGGTGAGGGCAAGTGGAGAGGTGGCCCAAGTGGAAGTTTGAGTCCAGGGAGCCATGACGGTAAGCCTCTTTATTCTGAGGTCCATGGGTCCCCTGCCCTGTCAGAGCGATGCAGGAGGGCAGAGCCATGTTAACAAGGCAGCCCTGCTGGTGCCCACGTACCTGCCCTCCCACTCCAAGCAGTCTGGGCCCCACCTCTCCAGGAGGCTAGAGCCGTCTGGCCTCTGTCAGGGCTGCACCCTCAGGGTTCTGGATGGGGGGGGGGGGAGTGGGGTCCTGCCCTGACTCCCCGCCTAGGCCAGGGTAATGCCTGGTCATGGCAGCAACGTGTCTTTGTATGGGAAGCCATGGTCTTAGTGGTACATCATCCGGCCAAGCAAAGGTCTAACTATCCAGAAGTCGTCCACAATCTTCCCATCCTGTGGAGATCAGAAAGGAAGTGAGATCAGGAGACAGTGAGGAAGGGAAGTCTGGCCTGCAGGGCCAGGTGGTTGGGGTTCAAATCCCACCGCTGCCTCAAAGGCTTGATGACCTTGGACGAGTTCCAACAGCTCTCTGAGCCTCAGTTTCCCTCATTTGAAAAGTCATGACTAAGCCAAGGGTGTTGTGTGGTACACACCAGAAATGCCAGCACTTGGGAGGCAAAGGCAGGAGGATCTGTCCCAGGTCAGCCTGGGCTGTGTAAGAACACACCGTCTTAACCTCCTGCCTGAGGCAGTAGTAAGGTGTTATCTCTAGTGACTAGTATTTTGGTTGTTTGTTTGGTTGGTTTTCAGTTTTGTTTGAGATAGGGTTTCCAGTCACAAGGCCCACTGAGTTTGACTTTGAATGTCTCCTACTCTATCTTAAGTGCTGGATTTACAGGACTGAGCCAACATTTATGCCGAGCTGAGGATCAAACCTAGGACGTCACGTTTGCTAGGCAATTGCTCTATACTGAGCTGCATGCCCAGCTCGCCTGGACTATGTCACCAAGAGTCTGTACTCCAGGTATCCAGTGTCCATGCTGCCCTAAGCACTTGTCTCGTTGCTCAGCGGCTGTAGCAAGAACTCTAGGATAGGATAGCTACAGGGCCACGGTGACAGAGACGAGGGCACACAGGACACACCGACGTTCACAGCTTGGTAAATGATCACCGTGTGTGCTGAAAATGTGGTCTGTGGGTGAGATTAGAGCTCTGCTATCTGGAATCTGTGTAACCCTGGGAAAAGCGCTTTCCCTCTCTAGAAAGGGAAAGAATCCTGTCCCTGTGGGAATCCCCGTGAGGGGTAAGTTGCTTACACTCAGTATAAGACAGTCCAATCCCATGCCCGACACAGCAGTGCTCACTAAACTCTAATTTTTATTTTTGTTTGGTGTTTTGTTCTATTCTTTCTGAGGTAATGGAAGCCCATGCTGGTCTTGAATTTGTGTTCTGATCCTCCTGCCTTGCAAGTACACCACCCCACCTAGCTTGTAACGATTTTAAAACCACCATGAGGAGTGGATGAGAAATGGCTCAGGGTCTAAAGATCTTGCCACACGGTTCAGATCTCGCGTGCCCACATAAAAGCCAGGCCTGGGACTAGAGGCAGAAATAAACCGGACCATGATGCTTCAGGTCCACCACACACACATCCTCCTCACTCCCATCAGCCACCTGTTTTCTCTTCTGTTTCGAGTGACTAACCCTTATCTAACTTCCCACTGCCAGGTTAGGCTCTCGGTACGTTATGGGTGTTGTTACACAGCCAGGGCACCCTGTGAACCAGAGACTGTGGTAGACCCCGGATTTGAAAACTGAAGACCACAGAGGTCAGAGAAGTTATTCAGGGTCTCATGGCTGGTAGGAAGCACAGGCAGGATTTGAACTCAGGCTTCCAATTTTAGTGTATATATATTTTTTTCTCTTCTGAGCTCATGGTTACCCTATGTAGCCCAACTGGCCTTGAAATTTAGGTCCTATTGCTTCAACCTCCCAACTCTTTATGTTTTTATTTTAATTTATGTTTTGTTGTTCTTTTCAGAACTAGAGATTGAACCTGAGGCCTTTCACATTAACCAGGTGCTCTATTGCTGAGCACCCCTAGCCCCTCACCGGGGGATTCTAAGCAGGGGCTCTACCACTGAGCCACACACCCCAGCCCCTCACTGGGGAATTCTAGGCAGGGGCTCTACCACTGAACCACACACCCCAGCCCCTCACTGGGGGATTCTAAGCAGGGGCTCTACCACTGAACCACACTCTAGCTCCTCACTGGGGGATTCTAGGCAGGGGCTCTACCACTGAGCCACACCCCAGCCCCTCACTGGGGAATTCTAGGCAGGGGCTGTAACAAGGAGCCATGGCCCTAATTCTTCTGCCGCAGTCCCTCAAGTGATGGGATACCTCACCACACCCAGTGTATTGATTTACATTTTTGTTTGTTTGTTTTCCAGACAGTATTTTTCTGTGCAGCCCTGGCTGCCTTGGGATTTGCTTTGTAGACTGGGCTGGGCTTGAACTCAGAGATGTGCCTGCCTCTGCCTCTCAAGCCCTGTGATTAAAGGGGTGCACTACCATGACCAGCTTGATTTACTTTTGAGCCCAAGGTCTTAACCACTCAGCTCCCACATACCCTGGACCAGGCTGTGCAGCTTGTAACCCACGCCTGACAGACCTGGTCATCAGACACCTGCTGGATGTGCATGTGGGTGCCGTTAAGGATGTGCATCCGCGTGTACCCGTACTCCTTCACACGCAAGGCGCTCCACGGTCTGGCTTTTATGGTAAAGGGAGTCAGCAGCTCTTCACAGCCCTGTGGAAGACAGACAGTGAGATAGCACAGCACACGGGGACACATCCTGCCAGGGCTTGGCGGCCTCCACGGGCTGGGAGGCTACAAATCAGTCCCTGCATGTGGGAGACAGGAGGATCCCAAAGCTCAAGGCTAGTCTGGTCTGTGTAGTCAGACAACCAAAGCAGCCTGGATTACATAGATGCTGTCTCAAAAATACATGGGGGCAGGGCAGTGGTGGTGCATTCAGTCTCAGGGCTTAGGAGGCAGAGGAAGGCGGATCTCTAAGTTCAAGACCAGCCTGGTCTGCAGAGTGAGTTTCAGCACAGCCAGGACTACACAGAGAAAACCTGGCCTGGGGCTGGAGAGATGGCTCAGTGGTTAAGAGCACTGGCTGCTCTTCCAGAGGTCCTGAGTTCAATTCCCAGCAACCACATAGTGACTCACAATCATCTGTAATGAGATCTGGCGCCCTCTTCTGGTGTGTGAGCATACATAGGCAGAATGTTGTATATATAATAAATAAATAAATCTAAAAGAAAGAAAGAAAGAAAGAAAGAAAGAAAGAAAGAAAGAAAGAAAACCTGTCCTAAAAAACAAAGCAACAATAACATAAAACAAGCTGGGAGCTGGTAAAACAGCTCAGCAGATAAAGGCTCTTGCCATCCAACCCTGGCAACCCACAGGGTAGGAGAGATCCACTCTAGGATGTTGTCTCTCACTTCCAGATGTGAACCCTGCACCCCGACACAAAAATAAACAGTGCCAACAGTAACAACAACAACAACAAAAGGAAATTAAATGAACTGTAGCTCAGCTGAGAGAATGCTTGCCCAGCATGCACAGCCTCTAAACTCAATCCCCAGCACAACACAAAACCTTACATGGTGATTCATGCCTTCTAACCCCAGCACAAGATCAAAAGTTCGAGGTCAGGGGCTGGAAAGGTAACTTGGTAGTTAGGATCATTAGCTGCTCTTGCAGAGAACCTGGGTTTGGCTCCCAGCACCCACATGGCAGCTCACAACCATCTGTAACTCTTGTTCTAGAGCTAGGACACCCTCTTTCAGTCTCCCCAGACATTGCATGCACATGGTGAACATACATACATGCAGGCAAAACACCCATATACGTCAAATAAAATAATAAATAAAATATTAATTTTAAAAGTTCAAGGTCAGGCTGGAGAGATGGCTCAGTGGTTAAGAGCATTGCCTGCTCTTCCAAAGGTCCTGAGTTCAATTCCCAGCAACCACATGGTGGCTCACAACCATCTGTAATGAGGTCTGGTGCCCTCCTCTGGCCTGCAGACATACATGCACACAGAATATTGTATACATAATAAATAAATAAATATTTTTTAAAAAAGTTCAAGGTCAATTTAAACCATACAGTAACCAGATCTCAAGTTTGAGATCAGCCTAGACTCTATGAGCTGGTCTCAAGATTAATTAGTGAATTAAACCAGGGTCTAGGGCTCAAGGCTAGCCTGAGTTACATGGAGAGAAAGAAAGAGAAGCATGGTAACTTCACTGTGAATGAACCCTAGACGAACTGTTTGTTTGTTGTGTGTATCTGTCTCAGTCAGCTCACAGCTGCCTGGTGTGGGTGCTGGGAACTGAACTCTGGTACTCTCCGAGAGCTGTTTGTCCAGGGCCTCATGTAGCCAAGGATGACCCCAAACTCCTGATTCTCCTGCTTCCACTTCCCAAGTGCTAAGAGTGTAGGCTGCTCCGTGATGGCTGGCTTTGCTCTGTGGTTTTGGTTGTCTTATTGTTATTATTTTAAAATTACAGTTATTCAGCATATTCAGTGTGTGTGTGTGTGTGTGTGTGTGTGTGTGTGTGTGTGTGTGTGTGTGTTAGATTCTCTTTCCACATGTGGACCCTGGGACTTGAACTCAGGTCATCAGGTTTGGCAGCAAGTACCAATAATTGCTCAGGCTCTTTTTTGCCTTTTGAGATAAGGTCTTGTGCTGTAGCCCAGGCTGGTCTAGAACTCACGGATCTTGCACTTAGGACAGTCCTCTGGCTCCAGCATCTGGAATGCTGGTGTCACAAGCACATACCACCAGTCAGGACTTCCAACAATTGCGGTTTACCTACCTGTGACCATCATGTATCCTACCCTGGCCTCCACGTCCCCATCTGTGTGACGAATATATACCATCAGCAGCACCCAGTCAGAATGCAGTGGTGGCCGCCACCACCCTGTCTAAACTAGTCTAAACTAGTCCCTTCCCACCTGCTCACCGCAGATCCTGTGATGATGTGAACCGGGCCTCGGGGATTCGTATAGGGCTTCTCCAGGCTGCCGTTAAACACCTGGAGGAAAGGACAAGGTGGGCGGTGGGTCACAACTGGCCAGGACCTGGTGAGTGTTTGACCACATGAACACCAAGCGTCTGGTCCTGCGTCCTCCTTGGGCCTCACCTGGTAGTTGTAAATTGGCCAGAGCCGTTCGTAGGAGTGTTCATGAGCCCAGAACTCCAGATCTACACCTAAGACAGGAAGAGTGATGTTCAGGCTCCTGGGTGGACAGAGGTAGGGCCGGGGACTCCCCAGGGTCTCTCACCATATTTATGGAAAAGGTCCTCTAGCCCGAACAGCTTGCCTTGGAGGCCTTTGCGGACCTGTTGGGATGAGCGGGGAGGTGAGGAGGCCCGTCCTCCCTCCAAGTATCACCGCCACCCAGGGAAGGGACCTCACCCGGCTTTCATGTCTTGTGCAGTCATCCAGATCGGCATTGGAGCAGTACATAGGCCGATGCCCCATGGTGATGATCCATGGTCGGGCTACCCGGTTCCTATTGGCTTTCTAGAGGAAAGAGGCCTGAGTGAAGGACAGCCATAGGGGCTGAGAGGCCAGAAGGGGCTTGGACCCGGGCCTACCTGGAGGTCATTCTCCAGCCAACGGAACTGCCTCTCCACCAGGTGGCGGCCATAGTGGAGAAAGAAATACACCTCAGTGGAGAAGGAGATTATATGAGCAGGACCCAGGTCCCAGCTGCAGGGGTCAAAAGACAAGGGTCAGAGATTGGAAGTCTGTGCCACCCATCCTTCAGGGGGGTCAGTCCACATGCACACCCAAAAACTCTCCATATTACCTGTACCATAAGCCTTCATTGTCCCCTGGCATACTAAAGCGAGCCTTGTAGTTAGAGAAATTGCTGGGAAAAAGGAATTATAAAGAGCAAGGGGTAAGAACCTGGATTCAGCAGCCTCCGCCTCCCAACTTCCCGGCCAGAGTGTGGCTCCCAGCCCACCCTTTCTTTGTCTCTTCTTTCTCTACCAAGATGAGGCCCCTGCAGCATGAGGAACTTAAGAGAGACTCCGAGAAGGACACAGCTGGTTTCTCTAGTCTGGCTTTTGCCCACCACACTCACTAGCGTTGTTCGTGATTTCCAGGGCATGTCATGTATGGCAGGCTGGCAGCGACCGGTTCGATGAGCCGCATGAATCTGTCCCCAACGCGAGCATTGTCCTGGTCCATGTTGTAGGCAAAGTCTCCTGGAGGGTAGTCGGGAATGGGAGAGAGTGAGGCCCAGGCTCTGCTTCCTCTAGGATCAAGACCTTGTGGGTCCTGATCCCGGCCTAGGACCTTCTCATGTATGAGCAGACACAGCTCCCAATTCTGCATCTTGTTGGCTCCCATGACACAGCTGGGCCTGGTTTGATGCTGATTTTTAGCAAGCAAACTATTTCCTTTATTATCACTAGGGATTGACCCCAGGATCTTCTGGACACCAGGCAAGTGCTCTATATTTACCGGCCCCTCACTGGGGGATTCTAGGTAGGGGCTCTACCACTGAGCCACACCCCAGCCCCTCACTGGGGGATTCTAGGTGAAGGCTCTACCACTGAACCACATCCCCAACCCTTGCTTTTTTTTTTTTTTTTAAACCAAGCCTCACTAAGCTGTTCAGACTGGCTTTGAATTCTGGGTAACCCTCCTGCTTCAGCCCCTTCACTGCTGGGATTATAGACATGTGCTACCATGCCTATTCATCTTATTTTATAATAACATTTCTGTGTATTCTGAATGAGCCTTACCTCTCATAACAATAACAATAAAAAAAAATAGGAAATCAGAGCTGGAATCGGTATGGACCAGAGCTGAGGTCTTAACCTCGGACCTCATATCTGGGGTCAGCCTCGGGCCCCACCTTCAGCCCCCAGCCACGGCCCTTCTGAAGCACCCCAGCGGTCCCCAGCCCATCCCAGCACTGGACTGATAGGCACCCAGGCCGCCAGCCTCCCAGTGCACCCTCGCCGGTGCCTCACCCACATGGAGCACCGCGTCAAACATGCCCTGCTGGGTGTCTCTCCGCAGTCTGGGCAGGGCCCTGGCGTTGTCAGCGCCCATATCCCCAAACACAGCCAGGCGGGGGCTCCAGTGGACCCCTCTCTTCAAGGCTGTGAAGCGAAACCGCCGGCTCCAGCCCTGAGCGCTGCCGCAACGGTAAACTGAGGGAAGAAAAAAACCAGACCTCTGTCAGCTGTGGAGGCAGGGAGCAGGACCTTTCCAGCAGACCTCACCCTCAAGCCCTGGAGAGGGAGGGAAACACAGGGACATCGCTGCCATCATCATTACTATTATTATTAATGATGAAAACTAGCCTGGGCTACCTGACAACATCTCAGGTAGCCCAGGCTAGTCTCCAGCTGTCTATGTAGCCCAGGATGAGAATTTCTAATCTTCTTGCCTTCTTCCAAGTGCTGGGATCAAAGGCTTGTGTTATCACACCTAGAATCATATCCCAGGGTCTCACACGCGTGGCAGATGAGCCACCAGCCCAGCTTCAGCTACAGGTCTCTGGTAGCTTCTAGGACATACCTCCCTCTTGCCCACCGACAACCCTCTCACCATACTGGGCCCCGGGCAGCAGCTTCCGAAGCGTCACGCGGTGGATGTAGAGCTTGCGCCGCAGAATGCCCCCATCCACGAAGGTGCTGGCGGTGCCATGGGCACGGAATGGGAGCGGCCCAGACAGGTGCATGCCGAACTGCACCTCCGACCGCGCTGGAGCCCACGTGGTCCAGGTCACAGTCATGGAGCCCGGCTCATCTGGGGAGAGAGAGATCAGAATGGAGCCTGGGGAAGGCTATCAAGCAGGAAGAGGGGGGCTTTTAGCAATCAGTCCACGCCCTCAGTTATTGCCGAGCTGGGCTTCCAGTGAGAGTGGCTTCGCCTCCCCAAGCCTCCGTTTCCCGTATGTGAAACAGAATAGGGTTATCTATCCTCCAAGATTGTGAGGAAGCATGGATATACAAATACAATCGGCAAGGTGCATCCTAGGTTACAGGTCCTGGAATTCAATCACCTATGGGTTGAAAATGCTCCGGGGAGAAAAAGGAATGTCAAAACTGCTCAACCATTGTGACCCGAGGTCATCCCCAAGACACATGTGGCTTCCAAAAGTTGTCCTCTGAGCCGGGTGCTTTTTAACCGTAAGAGAGGGTTAAAATAGCCACAGGCAGATGTCTGTGGGTTGATGACAGCGTGGTCTACATAGTGATCATCCAGGGCAGGATAGTGAGACGTAGTCTTAAAAAGAAAAAGAAAAAAAAGACCTTTGACCTCTACATGTGTGCTATGGCATAGTTGTGCCTACCTCCCACATAAACTAAATAATAAATAAATTTATACGAATATTTTAAGACTATTTGGGGAACGTGGAGAGGTTGGCTGCTCTTCCAGAGGACCTGGATTCACTTCCCAGCACCAAATCTGTTCACAACCATCTGTAACTCCAGTTCCCAGGGATCTGATGCCCTCTTCTGGTCTCGGAGGACACCAGACGTGTATATGATTCACAGACAAATATGCAGCCAAAGCACCCATACACATAAAATAAAATAATAAAGTCCAATTTCCGGGCGCGGGCCTGGGGATGTGGCTCAGTGTGTAGAGCGCCTTCCTGGCGTGCTCAAAGCCCTGGGTTCCATCCCCAGCACCACAGGCGCAGCATCCGGAGACTGAGGCCAGAGAACTGGAACTTCTTGGCCAGCCTGGGATACATGAGGAATTCTGAGCTAACCTGGGCTTCATAGCAAGGCTCTGTTTTAAAAAAAAAATTAAACTCGAAAGAGGGAGGAACACACAAGCCCAGCCCTTCCCTAAGGATTTATTTTGCTGTGGTGTGGCTCATGCTCCTATGAATAGCCATTCACCCATGCTCCTGTAAGCAACCCCAAGGAAACTCACAGAGTTGGACACACACACACATATACACTCCCATGCATACACACACACATGCATGTGCACACGCATGCAAGCACACACACATACACTCACATGCATGCACACAATCATGTGCATGTGTGCACACATGCATGCACACGTATGCACACATGTGTGTACATGCACTCACGCACGCACACACGTGCCTACTCGTGCACAAAAGACTTTAAAGTAGGAGAAGGGTCTAATTGGAAGAGGAAAGAGACCAATGGAGGTGGGGGATGGAATAAGAGAGGGTGAGGGGTTAGGTGAATGTAACCCATATCCATTATATACACATACAGAAATATACACTGAAATACATTATACACCTGTACAAAAATGGGCCAGGCAATGGTGGCACACACCTTTAATCTTAGCCCTTGAGGAAGAAGCAGACAAATCTAGGTGAGTTCAAGACCAGCCTTGTCTACAGAGTGAGTATCAGGACAGCCAGGGCTACACAGAGAAACCCTGTCTCGAACAAACAAACAAAAACAAAAGACAAAAAAAAAGCAAAACTTAAGCAAATAAATAGAGAAGAGAAAATGTCATTACGAAGCTTCTGATGTGTGATTAATATAAACTAATTAGGAAGAAGACAAAGCAAACAAGAAACGCGGCAGCACAATAGCTACTTTCCAGAAGACTGTGCTAAGCACTGAGTCACAGGTGACTTACTGTGTGCTGGGGTTCTGTGCAAACACCACAGCCTTGTGCTTTGTGGGTGACCTCGGGTCTGGCATCCTGAGAATGCCCAGGTAGTCATCTTTAGTGAACAGGAGAGACAACCTTAGGCAAAGAACTCGCAACAATGAGATTTACAGGCTGAGTCAATGTCCCTATTCTTTTCAGTGTGTGCTAGCCTGCAGCCAACATTGCGAGGTCATGAGGTCATCTGAGAGCTCCGGACAGGTATCTGGAGGCCAGCTAAGTAATAAAGTGGGGGAGTGGGAAAAAAGGCCAGCTATAGGGCAGGCCTGCAGGGAGGGACAGGATCTCATACTGTATCCCAGGTTAGCTTGGAACTGCTTAGGTAGCCCAGAATGGCCTTGAACCTGCAGTCATCCTCCTGCCTCAGCTGGGATAATAGGAGTGAGTCACCATGCTTGGCTCTAGAGTAAATGGCTTCTTATATCATAGGTCAGGTTCTTTAAAGTTGGCCTCTAATTCTCACCTCCTCTCTCTCTCTCTCATGCATGAACACACAGACATACACACACACAGAGACACACACACACACACACACACACTAAAATTCCTGAGGTTGGAGAAATGGCTCAGTGGTTAAGAGCACTGGCTGCTCTTGCAGAGGACCTGGGTTCAGTTTCTAATATCCAGACAGTGGCTCACAGCTATCAGTGAGTACGAGTTCAGGGGATCCAGCACTCTCTTCTGGCTTCCAAGAGTACTGCATACATATGGTACACACACACACACACACACACACACACACACACACACACACACTCATAAATGCACAAAACTTTAGAGAACATTAAAATCAGCCAGATGTGAGAGGAAAGTACCACAAGCTCGTGGCTATCTTGCACGATGAGTGACGTCAACACACTGAAGGGAGTGGGGAGGTGGGGGAGTGCATGGGAAGCAGCGTCCTAACGGATTGAGGAGGCTAGCAGTAAGCTGACCACGCAAGAGCAAGCGCAGTCACTTGGTCAATCAGGCCTCTTACACAGGAAAAAGGATTTTCTTTTCAGGCACAGGAGAGCTCAGAGCTTGAGACATACTAGGCAAGTTCCACAGACTTACTATACTACCCCCACCACTACTCCCAAGCCATGAAAATTCCAAGAGACCAAATCTGGGACCCAGAGAAGAGCAATAAGCAATGATAGTACCAAATTTCTACCCAGAGAATGAAAAAATATTCACAAGTCTGGCATGGAAAGAAATCATTGAATACATAAATGAAGTAGGCAAGAGGGAGGGACAGCTCTTCCTAACACTAAATTTTAATTAGATGGGAAGCAATAGCTGGGGTCATGGCTAGAATCCACTCTCCCCCATGAGGGGCAGTAGCATGGCTCAGTGGTAGAGCCCCTGCCTAGAATCCCCCAATCTTTGCCTAGTGGGTGGGAGGCTGCAATTCATATGTACTCACACAAAAGAGCATTTTTTTACATGTATATATATGGAAAGAGGGAATAAGAAAATTAAAAACTCCCAATTAGGCAAGCACAACACTAAGAATTACTGCAGTTAGGAGCCACTGATGAATGCTAAAACAAACTAGTGGGTGAAAATTTGTGGAGCAACAGGACTTGCTTCTTCTTGAGCAATCTCTCCCCAAGCTATTCATTAGCTACAAAGCAAAGAATAAAGGATCTACAGTGGATAGACCCAGCAGGCATCTGCTTAAGCAGCCAGCGAATCAGGGTCAGCACCAGCAGCGGCGGCTGTAATAAAGCCTCTCTACACCATGGACCCTCCAGTGCCACGTGCCGAGAGAGAGACCCGAAGCCACAGCCGCGGTCTTCTCTAACACACCCTTGGAACAACAGCGAAGAGACCTGGAAGAGCGATGCTTCACAAAACCACTGACCGACTCTCAGAAAACACAAAGGTCACAAAAGAGAAAGACTTAGGTGCTGGCGGCTGGGGTCGCATCCCAGCGATTCCAGAACCAGGGAACCTGAGGCAGGAGGTTTCCTAGTTTGAGGCCAGCCTGGGCTACAGATCCAAAGCACAGCGGGAGGCTAAAGCTGCACCTTCCCCCAAGCCCAGGGTGAGATCCTGCAGTAAAATCAGTGGTGACCTTGGGGACATTTGCGTGAGGTCTGTAGTTTGTCCAGACGTGCCAGTGTGTCCATTCCATTGTTTAGTTTGTTTCTACATTGCTTTGTTAGGGATAGCATCTTACATGGTGACATTGGGTGGGCTGGAACTCACAGTGTCACCACGCCTAGTTTGTCCTTTCTTTTCACACGGGTTTCATTGTGGTCTAGATGGATTTCGTGTCGGTGAGGTCAGCATTCCTCCTGCCTAGACCTCCCAGAGAGTTGGGACTGCAGGCACACGTGACCCTGCTTGGTTCCACTTTCCTTTTATTTCCTTCCTTTTTATTGGGCTGGGGAGTGAGCCCTGGGCTCTGTGCAAATCAAGCAAGTGTTCTACCAATGCGGCAATATCTTAGCTGTCAACTTCCAATTAACACTTTTCTTTTTGAGACTTATTTTGCATGTATTGGTGTTTACCTGCATGTACATCTGTGTTCCGCACGCCTGCTTGCTACCCATGGAGGTAAGAAGAAGGCATTGGATCCTCTGGAACTGGAGTTACAGATGTGTGTGAGCTGCCACATGGGTGCTGAGAACTGACCCGGGTCCTCTGAAAGAACAGCCAGTGCTCTCAACCACTGAGACATCTCGTCAGTCCCCTCAAATTTCAGTTTTTAATAATCCTACCACTGTTATTTATGTTATCTTTCTAGGCTACATAGAGATTCAAGGATAGTCTAACCTGCAGGAGACCCTGTCCCCAAACCACCACCAACAAAAAGATATCAGAGAACATCAGAGGCTTGGAGCAATGCTCAGTGCCTAAGAGAACCGGCTACTCTTCCAGAGGACCTGGGTTCAGTTCCCAGCCCTCACATGTGGGCTCACTACCACATGTAACTCCAGTCCTAGAGGGATCGGACGCCCTCTTCTGGCCTGCACGTGCACCAGGTACACACAGTGGTGCACAGACATACAGGCAAAATATCCACACTCATAAAAGTAAAAAATAAACTATTAAAAAAATGAGGAAATCATCCAGGATCATGGTACACGCCTTTCATCATGCACCTGGTGGGCAGAGGCAGGGGAGTCTCTGTGAGTTCAAGGCCAGCCTGGTCTACAGAGTGATTTGCAGACCAGCCAGGGCTTCATAGTGACACTGTCTCAAAACAACAATAAATAAATAAATAAATAAATAAATAAATAAATAAATAAATCAGGGTATAGTATGCCCACAAAATATAGCATGCCCAATTTTTGAAAGAAAAAAACTCACTAACCTCAAAAAGAAAAAGGAAATAAAAGCATTAAATTGAACTCTGTTAGTATTAACATTATTCTAGGTTGTATGACCTACAACCAAACTCTACCTCAGCAAGTCTCCACTTATTATTATTGTTGTTGTTGTTGTTTTGTGTTTTCATTTTGTTTTAGAGGCAGACTCTCACTGTGCAGCCTTGGTCGTTCTGGAATTCACTCTGCCTCCTGAGTGCTAGGGTTAAATACTATTATTATTTCAGAGACAAGTCCAGGCTGATCTTGAACTCAGCATCCTCCTGCCTCATCCTGCAGAATACTGCAATTGCAGACCAGTGCAACCAGGCCTAGTTGACTGTACTGCCTTAGAACTCCTCCCGAAGTCTCAACACACTTCAAATGTAAAAGCTTCACATTCGTGTTTTGTTTTTGTTGTTTTTTATTTTTTGAGACAGGGTTTCTCTCTGTAGCCCTGGCTATCCTGGAACTTGCTCTGTAGACCAGGCTGGCCTCAAACTCATAGAGATCCTCCTGCCTCTGCCTCCTGAGTGCTGGGATTAAAGACATGCACCACCACCACCTGGCAAAGCCTTAAATTTTTGACCAACAAGAAGCAATCATATTACATTTTGGGGTAGTTTTGAAGAAAAGGAGCCACAGTTACCCCAACTGCGTCAAGTTCTTGTCCTCTGCTTCTTCCCATCGCTGAGAGTTCACTTCCTCCCTCTCAGCAGCCAGAGCGGCCGATCCAGACAGGCTGAACAGGAAGTAATCCAGGAGAACCCCACATCTACTCAGACTAACATTACAGACATGTAAGGGCTGCTGAGATAGACCCGTGCGTAAAGGCAGCTGCCACCAAACTGGCAACCCTACAAGCCACAGGCCCTCTGACCTCCACCTGTGTGCACACAGCAGGAAATCCAGAATGTTTAAAAAGGGAGGTTTGGAACCACGAAGTCAGTAATATTCCTGTCACTGACCTCCACACAAGCCTTGCTGCGTGTGCATATACAGACACACACTCGGCAATAAAAATTTTTATAACTCGATGATTTAAAAATATGGGCTTTTGAGATGGTTCCGTGGGTAAAGGGGCTGCCACCAAGCCAAGGCCACGTGGTAGAAGGAGAGAAACGACTCAGGGGTTCTCTGACTGCCACACACACGCTAAGTGATAAATAAATAAAACGTAGGATTTTTTTTAAAAATTTGTGTAAAACCACAGCATTTTCACTGACTTAATATAGTTAGTGAATATAGTTCTCATTCAGTAAAAATGACATTTACAGAAGAGGTCCTTGTTACTGCTTACTTTTTATGGAGTTTTGTTTTGGCACTGTTGGGAATGAGCCCCACACCGTCATGTGTGCCTGGCAGCGGCTCCGTTATCAATTTCGACCCAAGCTCTCAGTTTCCCTTCCCTCCCACTCCCCCTTACTCCCTTCTCTCTCCCTTTTTTCTTTTTATGGACAGGATGCCCTGTCGTCCAGTCTAGCTGAGCCTTCTGCACGCTGAGTGGCAGAGGATGACCATGAACCGCTCCTCCCGCTTCCTCCTCCTGAGTTCGGGGCCCTGGGAGAGCGACACTATACCTCGCTGGGTTTTCTCTTTCTTTCTTTTTTCCTTTTTTTTTTAAAGATAGGGTCTCACTGTGTAGCCCTAGGTGGCTTGGAACCTCCTATGTTGACCAGGCTGGCCTCAAACTCAGAGACTCGTGTTCCTCTGTCTCCCGGGTGCTGGAATGAGAAGAGTGTACTAATCTGCTTGGCCTGAATCTTAATTTTTAATATGATAAGTATGGAGATGTGAGATTATATGCACATCACACACACGCACAAACACACACATATCACATAAGCCAGGTATGGTTGTGCACACCTCTGAGTTCAGCTCTTGGGATGCTGAGGCAGGAGGAGTGTGAGTTCAAAGCAAGTCTGAGCTGTATGGTGAAACCATAAGAAAAGAGAGAGGTCACGATTTCCCTTACACGTGGAATCCAGAGTTAAGTGCACGTGTATGTGTGTATATGTGTGTATGTGTGTGTGTGTGTGTGTGTAAAATCTTAACCCACAAAGGTAGAAGAGAGACTACAAGGGAGAGGAAGCCGTCTAAAAGAGAGGGGCAGGAGAGAACGATGGAGACAAAGAGGACAAACAGTCCACGTTCTCTCTCATAGGAAGGCTCTAAACTGACCAACCACATATGCACGTGTGTATGCCTGTATGAAAGCAGAAAGGAGATTATTTGAGGAGGAGCAGTGAGAGAGAGGGAGGAGGGACAGGAGAGGGAATAGAGGGGGAGGAAGCTAACATAGAAACTGAAAAAGTCCTGGCCCTGACCGGATTGCTCAGTGGATAGAGGTCCTTGTTGCTGTACCTGATGACCCGAGTTCAATCCTGGGATTCCCATGGTGGGAGCAGAGAAAGCCCTCCTGAGAGTGGTTCTCTGATGCGTGTGCAAAACATATACACACACACAGCAGGGGCACACTCACCATTACACACACATACACACACAGCAGGGGCACACTCACCAATACACACACATACACACACAGCAGGGGCACACTCACCAATACACACACATACACACACACAGCAGGGGCACACTCACCAATACACATGAGAGGGACACATACATGACAGAGACACACCCACACACATATACACATCCACACACACAAAGTAAAGAAACACATGTAGTAAAAGACAAATCCTAAAGAAAATGTCGCGAAACCCACTATCTTGCTTTAAAAATCGAAACAAAGCAAGGCACACCTAAAGGAAACCCCTTGCATGCATCGGTTCCCCAAGGCTGGCAGTCACTCCTGTTGTTATAACTAAGACAAAGTCAGGTGAGAGAGTCTCCGTTCCACCCAGAGCTCAGTCAAGTGACTCCACAGAGAACAAATGACAACCCCCACCACAGAAAGACGAGAAGAGGGTTGGAGAAAGAAGGGACCCAGGGAGACCTAGGTCCCCTTCATTCATTTACTGGTTTCTTCCACAATGCATTTCAGAACTCAGCGTGGCAACATGCCAGGCCATGGAGTAAGACAGCGAGGCGGTGAGCAAGGACAGCTCTCCAGAGAGCTCGGCTATTGATGGGTTCACACCATCATCCCTCCCCACACGAGCCTGCTGAAGTCCCATTTCACAGAGGCACATCACAGAGGCTCCGAAGGGCAAATCACCAGCCTGGGCTTCGACAGAGATTCCTGAGCCCTTCACCCACAGGGAACCCCAGAGCTGACGAAGGAGAGGCAGAATGAGGTGAGAGATCAGGGACACTTACCTGGGTAGGACAGGTGGACTTGCTCCGGGGTGGCACGAGGATATTCTGGAGCTCCCAGGACTCCCAGGGAGAAAAGGAGGAACAGACAGTAGTAGAACCAGCACCCAAAAAAGGGGCTCATGGTAGGGGGGGAAAGAAGAGGGGGCAGAGTCAAACGCAGGGACCCGATCAGATTCCGTTGGTGGGTTCCGGTCACAGAGGAAATGGAGAGATGCCAGGCAGGGCCGTCTGTGTCCGTCCCTCAGTCAAGGTGTCCGTGGGGGAGGGAGACGGAATGACTGAGACGTCTCTGAGGGGAGTGGTGAAGCAGGTGCTAGAGAGAGAGAATAATTACTGAGGTCTCCTGGGCTCGCTGCTCAGCACTTTGCATAGATTAACACCGGGAGGCTTCGCAGCATTCCTAAGAGGTGGTGGCCGCAGTCATCACCAACCCTGTCACATATAGGAAACTGAGCAACCAGGTGACTCAGAGGCACGGCTAGCATGAGATGCAGTTGGGGTTTGAACCCTTCCGGCCCGGGCTCCAGCTACTGGGAGGGGGCCGGGTGGCTGGGGCAGGGTGTTTTGAGAGCCATCCTCAACGTACCCTCGGGCTAACTTTAGCAACCCCAGCTTCTGGGGGCCTGGAGGTCAGACACCTTTGACAACTCCGTCCCTAACATCTCAGCCTTCCTTAGCAATCTATCGACCCAATTCTTAGCATCCATCCTCAGATTTGCACTTTATTCTTCAGGACCCGATAGCTTCCACTCTACTCCCAAGCTGCTCATTAACTCCCCCTGCCTTAAGCGGCCTCCTCGCTTTCCTCTCCCCAGCACACCATCCTGCCTTCAGGCCCCACTCCTCCCGCCCTCCATCCTCACCCCAGCTGCCTTCCCGGCCCTAAACCTGCATGTGCCTGAACCCCGTTTTCTCTCCAGCTTTCTGGCCAGTTCTGAGGTTCGGTCCACCTGCCCTCGGGACCTGGGAGGGTGCATGGGGTCTGGAGACACCCTCCACCTGACCGGAGGTGGGGCGTGGGGGACGCAATCGGGGAAGGGACACCGGCTCACCCTCAGGGGCGCACGAGCTGCCCTCACGGTCCTCTCGGCCAACCGATGTGCTGCAGTATTTATGAGCTTGCAGGGACACAAGCTCCCGCCGCCCACAGGTGTCCCAGCCCCGGAAGAGCCGGCTGCCTCAGGTGACGGGCTCCCCGGACAGCCAGAGCCCCGGGTCCCACAGGTCCGGCCGGTCCCTGGCACCCCACGCCCACCCTCCCGCCCCCCTTAGGGTGGGGCGCAAAAAGGGGGACCCAGAAAAGTATGGGACACTGTCACCTCCGAGCCAGACAGCAGGTGCGCGCCGGGACAGGTAAGGCTGCGCTGTCCCCAGGCGTCCCACCGCTCCAGCTGCGGAGCCCCGGGGGTGACAGACACCCGTCATCAGCCCCACGGGAGGCCGCGACTTCGGGGGTTTTCAGCCTTTTCTGTCCGGCCTGCAACACTTTCCTCTCAACTCCTCCCAGCTTCCCAAACCCGGGACTTCCCTCTAGACCCCCGCTGGGCATTCTGGAAAACAGAAGCTCTAAAGGTCCTGGTGACAATGGCGTTTGTGAGCCCGACGCCCTAGGCGCAGTTGCTCAACCTCGACGCAGCCTCTTGTTTTCTCACCTGTAAAAAGGAGGGGATAGTAGGCACGAACCCCCGTGTTCTGCGCCGAGAAGATTCAAGTTCAAGTCCAGAATCCGCCCCCGGAGTCTAGGTGGGAACAAGTGGGGATTTGGTGGGTAAATCTTTATAAGCTGTCTGGGTGCTGAGGGAGCTTTCGGCAAAGGATGCTTAGGGTTGCCCAGACCCACCGCAGACACGTTCTTGGGAGGGGGTGTTAGGGTTTTCTGTCTTTTACCCATTTTCTGTCTGCAGACGCGATGACTCCGCGGTTTAGATTAGTAAATTAAGTGTCTGGGTCTTTGCTGGAGGAGGGTGTGGAGGCAGACTCAGGGTGGGGGTCTCCAGTCTTCGCATTTTTGAACTCCATAACCCTTCCAAAATCTTCATTACAGCTTAAAATGCAATAATAAACAAATAAATAAATACCTTGGGCCCGGGTCTAGTGTTTCGGTCTTTAATTTCAGCGCTGGGGAGGCGGAGCGTCCTTGTACATCCTAAAACAGCTAGCCTGGTCTGCAGCGAGTTCCAGGGCTACGGAGTGAGAGCCGGTCTCAATAATAAAATAAATAAAAGTAAATCATTTGGGTGTAGTGGTGCACCCTCTTAATCCCAACATGTAGGAGGCTGGAACTGGGACCAGAAGTCTGAGGCTATATAACCAGACCTTATCTTAAACAAAATACCACAAGAGAGCTCTTTTGTCAATTTCCACTTTTGACTCACAGCTACTGTGGCAGCCACGCTAAAACCCTTGCCTTCTGTTATTTTTCCTGGTGGCCTTCCAAAATGGAAGCCTCTTGACTGCTTTTATGCAAAGGGCGCCTATGGCAAGCTACTGAGGCCCACACGGGTCGTGTTTTTACATGTATAAGATAAACACACAGATTTACAAAAGAAACCCAAACCACCAAGTTGCACATAGCCAGATATTTTTAAAGCAAGTGTGTCGTACAGAACATATGTGCTCTTGTGTTTATTTGAAAACAGACTTTTATGTCTCCCAGACTGGCCTGGAACTTGCTATGTAGCTGAGGATAGCCCCAACCCCTGAACCTCCGGACTGAGCCTGTCAAATGCTTCAATTACAGACATAGGAGATGATGCCTGGCTTTTTCATTTGCTTGTTTTAAATTCTTTATTTATTTGTATACACGTGTGTTTGTATTCTTGTGGACCCTCACATGTGTGTGTGTATGTTTTTTTTAAGTTGGGGGGTCTTGAAATGTAGTCCAGATTGGCCTGGAATTTATTTTGTAGCCCAAGTTGGCCTCGAACCTTTTCTGTAATCCTTCTACTCTGACTCCTGGGTACTGAGATTACAAGCAGCAGCAAACCAGGCTATGCTGATTTCTTAGTTCATTGAACTTCAGTCTAGAAGCTTTGCTTTCCTCCTCTTGGTTTGTCTTTCATTTTATTCTTCAAACGAAAGCTTTTCAGCCACAGGCAGATCGTGTCACAGGGTTCCCGGGGGACCTTGGTCTGCTGTGGGGGGTGGGGAGGGGGAAAGGAGGGGGGGAGTAGAAGGATCAGCTGAATTCCAAGTCCCACCCAGGCCTGCTCAACCTCAGGTTGAAGGGATTGCTGAGGACCCGAGTCCCATCCCCAAGCCCCACGCGGTGGGAAAGGGGAACAAACTCCCCCAACCTCCACGGGCTCACACTGCAGCGCTTACACACCCACAGTCAAACCCTGCCCCGCCAAATAAATAAATAAAATAAAAAATTAAAGAGGAGTCACAGATGTGGAGATGTGTGTGGTGAGACAGTCCCAGCACTTAAAAGGCTGAGGCAGGAGGACTGCTGCAATTAATAGCTCAAGACCAGATCTGGCTACACAGTGAGCTCCAGGTCACTCTAGGCTAGAGTGAGAACCTGTCTCAGAAAAAAAGGGAAGAAGGAAGGAAGGGAGAGAGGAAGGTACACCCTTATAATCCCAGCATTTGGGAAGTGGGAGCAGGAAGTTTAGGAGTTCAAGGCCATCCTCAGCTATGCACTGAGTTTGAGGACAGCCTGGGCTGTTTGAAACCCTGAAAAGAAAGAAAGAAAGAAAGAAAGAAAGAAGGGGCTGGGTGGTGGTGGCATGCACTTTTTTTTTTTTAATATTTATTATGTATACAATATTCTGTCTGTGTGTATGCCTGGAGGCCAGAAGAGGGCACCAGACCCCATTACAGATGGTTGTGAGCCACCATGTGGTTGCTGGGAATTGAACTCAGGACCTTTGGAAGAGCAGGCAATGCTCTTAACCTCTGAGCCAAGTCTCCAGCCCCTGGCATGCACTTTTAATCCCAGCACTTGTGAGGCAGAAGCAGGCAGATCTCTGTGAGTTCGAGGCCAGCCTGATCTACAGAGCAAATTCTAAAACAGGTACCAAAGCTACAGAGAAACCCTATCTTGAAAAGCCAAACCAAACTAAAACAAAAGAAAACAAAACAAAAAAAAAATCAAAGAAAGAAAGAAGGGAGGAAGAGAGGTAAGAAGATGAGAGAAGGAGGGAGGGAGGAGAGATCATGTCTGTGAGAGCTAGCACTGAGTACTCACAGCATCCATAGCTGTAATCTTGGGTCGAGCATAGAGCATCTACTGTGGGACCCAGGGACCTGTGTTGAAATCTAGTTAGTGCATCAACTTTAAGCAAGTCATTTGGCCTCACTGTGCCTCAGTTTCCCCATCTGTTGAAGAGGGTGACAATAGTAAGTTCTTGGGGCTGTTGCAGGGGAGCAGATTAGATCTCAGATGGAATCTCTTAGAATTGCACCTGGCACAAAGCGTGTGCCCTACTTAACATCCCTTCCAATTAGCGATACCTAAGCTATGTAGTCGGCACAGTTTGGAAGATACATTGGCGGGAGCCTGCTTTCCTGAATCTCTTTAGAATCCTGAGGAAATAGCTCGCGCAAACAGAAGAGCACGTGAAGTAGGGGGTGGGTCATACCTGTGCTCTCCTTACTCGCAAGGTGGTGGGGAACAACACGACCACGACCACGTGATCTTAGCAGCTTCCTACTCACGTGCCCTCCCTAGCACCACTACCAACCTCCTCACAAAGGAAGCCACTATCCTGACTTTGACCTGACCTTGATGTTACTGCTGCCTGCTTTCTTGTTCACAATGGTTTTGTTTTGCCTCTCCGTGCCTGTGGGGAGCTCTGTGCCTGAGCTCCTTCTCTCTGAGTGAGCATTGTGAAATTCATCTGGGCGGATTACAATCTACTCTCTTTGCCAAGGAGTATTCCACGGTGTGAGCACAACATGACTTATCTGCTGTCTCTCAGTGAAAATGACAGTTTATGCATTGAAGACTTTGGCTCTTACAAGTAGGATCCTTTGAACATTCTTGTTTATGTTTTGTAGGTGGACATACATCCACCCTTCTTTTAGGTATAGAGCCAAGAGCAGAAAGGCTGGGTCGTGTGGCATGTACACATGTGCGTGTATGTATATGTGCATATATACGTATATGTGTGTGTGTATATGTATGTGTGTGTGTTTATGCTCATACTAGGTCAGTACTAACAGACGTTTTCCCAAAGCAGCTGTAGTCTCTTCTCTACCTCCTACTATCCACGTTGGAACATTTCCACTGCTCTAGATCCTTGCCAACACTTGGCATTGTCTGGCAATTCATTTTTAGTCATTCTGTTGGGTGTGTAGTAGCAGCTCCTTGTCGTGTTAATTTGCATTTCCCTGGTGAGCAATGCAATTAGACAGTTTTTTGTTTGTACCTGGCCCTCGGATGTCCTTTTCTTTCGTGTGCTTGTTCAGGTGTCTTGCCCTGTTTTCTGTCGGGCTATTCGTTTTTAGAACGATTTGCTCTCCTGCTATTTTGAACACAAGCCATTGCCGGTTCTGCGCACTAGAAACCTGCTCCGTGGTTTGTTTTCTCACACTCTGAATGACTTTTTGTTTAGAGAGTGAGTGTGTGTGTGTGTGTGTGTGTGCATATGTGTGTGTGTCTGTCTGTGTGGAGGTATGCTCAAGTAATGTGAAGCGCACGTAGAGGCTAGAGGACAGCTTATGGGGGCCAGTTTTGTCCCTCTTACAATATGCTTTCTGGGGATGGAACTCGGGTCATCAAATTTGGCAGTAAGCACCTTACCCACTGAGCCGTCTCATTGGCTCTTAATGAACTTTTTTTTGATGAACAGAAAGTCTTTAGCTTAATGTAGTCAAGTTTTCCATTAATGGCTATGTGGTGGCAGTAAACCTTTGATCCCAGCACTTGAGGCAGAAACAGGTAGACCTCAGTGAGTTCAAGGCCAGTCTGGGCTATGTACTACAAAGGTTCTCAACCTGTGGGAGTTGCTTATCAGAGTATTACAGTTACGAAGTAGTAACTGGTTGGGAGGATCATGACAAAGACACCTAAGCAACTGTATTAAAGGGTCACTGCCTTAGGAAGGTTGAGAACCACCGACATAGTAAGTTCTGGGCCAGCCAGGGACATGTAGTGAAACCCTGTCATAATACAA